TTGTCTACAACAATGATTCTGAAGTATAAGGAGTTGTTCTTGTGACTTCAACAAATAGAAACCCCAAGGAGTGGGTTCTTGATTCAGGATGTTCCTTTCATATGTGTCCTGTGAAGGAGTGATTTACTGAATTTGATGAGCTAAATGGTGGTCAAGTCCAGATGGGAAATGATATGACCTGTAAAATTGAGGGAATTGGTAGAGTTAGTCTCTTACTTGAAAATAGACATGTTCTTGAGCTTCCTTTGACCAAATATGTCCCTGAACTCCAAAGGAATCTTATCTCCTTAGGAGAATTGGATAATAAATATGAAATAAAGATCCATAAAGGATTCACTAAACTAAGTCTAGATTCAATAGAGATAATTTCTTCCTCAAAAGTGAATGGGATCTATACACTCCATGCTGAACCATTAGTTGGAAAACTGTCTGTTGTTACTAATTCTCAAAATGATAAGACTATGATATGGCATAAAAGATTGGGTCATGCTAGGGAAAAGGGATTGATTATTCTCAACAAGCTTGGATGCTTTGGTAAGATAATATTAAGAATTTAAAATTTTGTGAAAACTGTGTCACTGGAAAACAAAATAAACTACCATTTAAAATTGGTATTCATAAATCCACATCTACATTTGACTACCTGCATGCTGATCTATGGGGCAGTTAGTACTTTAAGTGGATTCAGATTTTACCAATTGATTGTGGATGATTATTCATGAAAAATCTGGACATTCCTTCTAAAAACCAAATCTGACACTTTTTCAAAATTTTAAGCAATGGAAGTTGATGATTGAGAATTAGACAAATAAAAGGATAAAAGTTCTTAGAACAAATAATGGACTTGAATTCTGTAATATCGAATTTGATCTCTTTTGTAAAGAATCTGGTATTTTAAGACATAGAACCACTACCTATACCTCTCAGCAAAATGATGTTGCTGAGAGGATGAATCGAATCTTGCTTGAAAAAGTTAGATGCATGCTGTTGAGCTCTGGCCTTCCTAAGGTTTTTTGGGATGAAGCCGTGAAGATTGCAACCTATCTGATAAATAGGATTCCATCAAGTACCATTGACTTTAAAATCCCTGAAGCATTGTGGTCAAGTGAATATCTAGACTACTCTAAACTTAAAGTGTTTGGCTGTGCTGCCCATTCTCGCCAAAATGAAGGGAAATTAGAACCCAGATCCTTAAAATGTACTTTGTTAGGTTATGGTGAAGAATCTAAAGGGTATAGACTTTGGGTAAGGGAACAACATGGATTCAAAGTCATAATAAGTAGAAATGTTATCTTCAATGAAGATGTGTTCCCTTGTAATGATTCTAAAAATTAGAATCAATCTGAATCTGTCATTTTAAAAGAAACCCTTCTTGAAAGAAATCACTCTGATGAGCCCAATGATATTCTTGAGGTGGAGTCCTCACAATCTGAACTAGATCAACCTCTATCTGAATTTGAAAATGAGAACCAAACCCTTATCCCTTCAGATTATCAACTAACCAGAGATAGGGCCAGAAGAAATAGGATTCCTTCCACTAGAATTAATACTGATGAGCCCAATGATATTCTTGAAAGAAATCACTCTGATGAGCCCAATGATATTCTTGAGGTGGAGTCCTCACAATCTGAACTAGATCAACCTCTATCTGAATTTGAAAATGAGAACCAAACCCTTATCCCTTCAGATTATCAACTAACCAGAGATAGGGCCAGAAGAAATAGGATTCCTTCCACTAGAATTAATACTGATGAGTTTCTTACATTCTATTCTGAAATGGAATCTATTAATTCTGAACCAACAACCTTTGAAGAAGCTGTTAATTGTAGAGAATCCAAGTTATGGATGGAGGTTATGAAAGAAGAAATGAACTCTTTAAGCAAAAATAAAACCTGGATTTTGGTTAATAAACCTAAAGATCAAAGGATTGTTGATTGTAAGTGGATTTATAAAATAAAAGAAGGAGATCCTACAATTGGGGGAAAGAGATACAAGGCTAGATTAGTAGCAAAAGGGTTTACACAGAGAGAAGGAATAGATTATAATGAAATCTTTTCACCTGTTGCAAAATATACTTCTATTAGAATATTGCTTGCCTTGTCTACTCATTTTAATTGGGAATTAGATCAATTTGATGTCAAAACTACCTTCCTAAATAGAGATCTTGATGAAACAATTTATATGAATCAACCAAAAGGTTTTGAACAGAATACCAAACCTGAAAAAGCTTACCTTTTGAAAAAATCACTTTATGGTCTAAAACAAGCACCTAGGCAATGGTATAAGAAATTTAACTCATATGTTCAAAATTTGGGTTTCTTTAAAAGCAATTTTGACTCATGTTTGTATTTTAAAGGCTCTGGTGGGCCTAATTCTATCTATTTGCTTTTATATTTTGATGATATACTTCTCGCTTCTCACAATAAATCTGAAGTTGATTTAGTTAAATCAAAACTTATGGAAGAATTTGAAATGAATGACTTAGGTCAAGCAAAAAGAATCTTAGGAATGGAGATAACAAAAGACAAAAATAATTGTGTGCTCTATATTAATAAAACTGCCTATGTGAAAAAGATTCTTGAAAAATTTTCTATGTCTGAATGTAAACCTGTATCCTTACCTATTGCAAACCACTTTAAGTTGTCAAATGAACAATCCCCCAAAACTGATGAAGAATTTGATAGGATGAAGAAAGTACCTTATGCTAATGTTGTAGGTTCAATTATGTATCTCATGATATGTACCAGACCTGATTTGGCACATGGAATCAGTATATTGAGTAGATATATGGCCAATCCTGATGAAATTCATTGGCTTGCTATAAAATGGATGTTTAGATATTTAAAGGGATCAATTGACTTAGGTCTAAAATTTGGACATTCTAATGAAGGGGTAATCTTAAAGGGCTATTGTGATTCTGATTTTGCAAGTGATCTTGATAAAAGGAGATCTACTTCTTCTTATATTTTTACTTTGTGTAATGATTGTGTAAGTTGGAAATCCCAATTACAGAAACTTGTTGCTTTGTCATCAACAGAGGCTGAATATATAACAGCCTGTGATGCTGTGAAAGAAGGATTGTGGTTGAAGGATCTACTAACTAAAATTGGTTTTAAAAATGAATCTGTTAATGTGTTTATAGATAATCAAAGTGCTATACACTTGAGTAAAAATCCTGTGTATCATGATAGAACAAAACATGCTGATATTAAATTTCATTTTGTGAGAGATATGGTTGAATCATGAATAATAAAATTGATTAAGATTCTTATTGATTATAATTCATTTGATGTTGGCACAAAAATCTTACCTTTAAACAAGTTTAGGAATTGCCTAATAATTCTGAATATTGTTTAAAGACAGTGGAAAATATGATCATTATCTCTCCTAATTGTTTTCTAATTTTTTTTATTTTGGAGGTATTTTAGAGCAAATGAAACATGTTAGTTGTGTATGATTCCACTAGAATGATTAAATGAATAGTTCAGCAAGGTGGAGATTGTTGGACATGGGCTGATGCTTCACTATTAATTGGACTCCAACAATTGTTGATGGGCTGGACATTCATTTGGGCCTCAAGTTAACCCAGTTTTTCAGGACCCAAGATAAAAAAGTGTTTTGGTTAACACGATTATGACTTCTTGTTGCCGATTAAATTTTGGACCGTTCATCTGACTTAGCCTCAGCCGTTGGATCAATGTGATTTTGATGAAATATATATATCTGCCTCTCTCTCTCTCTCTCTCTCTCTCTCCACGACGCTTGAGTTGTCATTTTCTCTTGAAACTTCTAGGGTTCTTCCTTTTGAGGGTTTTCCTTCGTTCTGTATTCTTTGTGTTCTTTTCTCTGAAAATCTCTGTGTGAAGATTAAAAGATTGTAGTTGTAGGCAATCTTTGAGAGAATAGATTGTGAGTTCACTATTGTTATATTTTGAAAGAGAGGCGAAAGAAAATTTGAAGGGACTTGAGTTCTCTTCAGACATTTGTACTGTTCTCGAGAGATTTCTTAGTGGAATCGAGCAATATTTATTTGTAGATGCTCAACGGGTGAGTAGGCTTTTAAGCTGAACATCCGGGCCTTCGTGGTGAAAAATCTTTTGTGTTCATCTTTATTTTTCAGCTATTTTGTTTTAAATCATTCAATATTCGATTCTGAGGCCAACAATCAAATTGTACTTTGGGTGATGGAAGAGTTGGGGTTTTTCGAATATACAAGGAAGAGACATTTTAAGGCGTATAGCGAGTTGGAATTAGAGGAAGATAACAATCAAGGTTGAGCAATGCATATTCTCCCTTGAGCGGATGCTTAGTGCAACTTGCGTTGAAATTCAAAAATTTTAATTTCTAGACATGAATCAACACCTCTTTTAATGGGGAAACACATTCTTTCGTGAATAGTTGGAATTGCATCTATAAAAGATGTATTTTATGGAAGATGAACACAACAATAATATATTCATTGAGATTATTAATCTTCCAAAGAGTTCAAACCCTAAAACCTAGTTCTCTATGTTCTTTGCCCCCCCCCCCCCCCCCCCCCCCCCCTTTTTTTTGGCTCTAATGAGAATCTATCAACCGTTGCTCGGCACAACTTATTAAAGCTTGATTAATCTCGGGATCGAGGCTATTTGTTGGCGATATGCCCCATTGCCCGAAGCAATCTCAAAGGCGAGAGGAGGCAAATATAGCTTCATGACAACTTTTTCTCAATGTGTTCAAGCTATTTGCGTTAGATCTAATTTCATCCTCTGTTTGAAGGTTCTTGGTTCAATCTCATTTTTCTACATTCTTTGTAAATTAAAACAGATTCCATTTAATTTTTGTTGGTGCCGTCTTTCCTTCCCTTCCAAGTAGTCTAATCTCGGAGCTCCTTTGTAATTATCTACAACAAGAACACATTTTGAGAGCCTTTATTGGGAATTTCCCATTGTCTCCATAAATGTGTGTGATGATGTTGTAGATTATTTTATCAAAGCACATTGGAGATCGAACTAGTAAGAGGCAGACAAACGACATCAATAATATTCTTAAAGCACGTACAATACGAAGCATCATTAAAGTACTAACAAAGTTTCCAAGTCATGAACATATCTCGTGTTTGTAGATTACATACATGGGAGATGCTGAACTATCTGCACACATATGTTACAATCTGAGAGAGAGACAACATACGACGACAATTTAGTGGAATTTGAGGCTGGTTAAGACATTGTTGTTCACAGGATCAGCCAAATGGTCCAGCAGGTTTTGGTAGGGACCAACCCCAGTCACCAAAGCTTGTACAAAGTAACCCAGGATTGCCAACATAGCCAATCTTCCATTCTTCACTTCCTTCACCTTCAACTCCTTCATGGATTTCTCGTCTTTACCGAACCCCAACGGGTTGAAAAGGGGGCCACCTGGGTATGCAGGGTCACCTGACCCTCCCAACCATTTCTCCAAACCCAAAAAGTATTGCTTGCCCATGGACCCTGGATTGGCCCAGTCCTGGAATCTCCGGTGCTCTGCGAATCCCACAAGTGCCAATTCGAAAACGAATAGGGTATAGGAATCGGCCCAGTAGTTGTATGTTCCAGCTGGAGGAATAACTCCGGTCTTGAACCATGGGAGGGCTGTTTCTGCTGGAATTAGGCCAGCCTTTCCAAGAATTTCGGGTGCAATTGCTCCTATTGCACCCACCATCGCGCAACGCCCATTGAAAATTTCTCCATAGGCTAGCCATTTGGGCTCAATGAATCCTCCAGTACCTTCAGGATCCGAGAGTCCCAATGGATCGAATCCATAGTCACCAGGGAGGCTGAAAAAGTTCAAAATACAGAGACTTAAGACTGATTTTCATCTTTTTGACTCCACTATTTGTCGTTAGATCATAATTTGATATTCAGTTTTGGTGAAAAATAGTATTATCAAGAGCACACGAGTTTACCTGCCATCCAGGTAGGAAAGACTCTGCTTGGAAGCAAACCAGAGAGGCCTGTCTGCTCCTTGCTGACAAAATAATCAATGGCAATAAGTAAAATTGAGCTTATAAGCATATGTGCAGTACAGTGAAAACGTGAAAGAGTCAAAGTGGATGCAACTCTCTTATGATGGATGAATCACTGTAGAATTGTGGGCGCACTTGTTTTCGATCTCTATTTTGTTTATTATTTGCTCTCGTAAATAGCTAGAGATTAGAGTTTAGTCCATAACAGACTAACCTTGACGGGAGGAGTAGAAGCAGCCTTCACGACGAAGGAAACCTTCCTCGCAGATTGGACTGGCCTTCCTCCAAGAATCTGTCTGGCGACCTCAGCAGACGAGCTGATGGATGATGAAGAGAGCAGTGCTTGAGTTGCCATTTTCGTCGTGCGTATTACACCGGTTACGGTTACAGTTTGCTTCAATATGTACAAGGCATGAAGCTAATAAGGGCCAGCAGAAGCCACACGAGATTTTTGTGGGTCAAGTTGGGAGTATTGTAATTGTGGCTGACATAAAAGGGCTATAGTAAATGATAAAGTTAGGATCTTGTTCTCTAATGGAAATGGCACAAGTGGAAGGTTTACTTGGATAAGAGATTTCATTGGCTTGTGAGAAACAAATATCTGACACTCTGCCATTTGAATCTCTAAATTTTAGCAACCACATAAATGCACGTGGATTGTTTATAATTTTATTTTTTTACCGTTGTCTTTTATCTGTCATCAAAACCCGAAATTTGTGTATGTTTCAGGTATACTACTCGATTAACCTCCCTATAATCTGGTAATAGAAATTCCTACATGCTTAACAGAAAGATGACAGGAATTCTTGTAGTTAGCGTACTATGTGGAATACTATCCATTTATTGTGTATCGAATCAATCTAATATCTATAACCCTAATATTCATACCATACTTGAAGGATTTTGGTCATAAGATAGGAGCGACATGCATTTTATCATTTCATTTTTATTTTATTTCAGAATGTGAAGCGGCAAATAGACATAACTTTCTTATTTACATTTAGAGTGAAACTACTCATCACTATATGAGCTCTACGTGTTTTTGATGTGGCCCGAGAGCCGCTCTCAAGTTTTTGGCTTAAATTCGAAAATAAAATAAAAAATTAACGAGCCACGAGTAGCTCGCAAGTCAGGTCTCCCCATAGGCAAGCAAGAGCCGGCTCGTATGGTGGGCCAATTCGAGCTCGGCGGTAGCCTAGTTGAGCGGATCAGCTCGACCCATTTAACACTCCTACCATATATGAAGGATTTTAAGGGAGGTTGTTTTGTCATAAAAGAGAGTGCGATGCATTTATCACTTTTTTTTCATTATTGTTAAGAATAAGTGGCAGCAAATAGACATAAGTTTCTTATTTACGCTAAGGGTGAATCAACACACATCAATGTTTTGAGCTTCGCGAGTTTCTGATTTCATTTCGATTATTATTGTTCTCATAATTGTGATTAGGGCTTACTTCTGAACATATTTCGATATTGCCTGTATACTTTTGATTGTTTCCTACTAGGTTTGCATATAAAGAGAGAATGAATTCATAAATAATGGGAAGCTGATGGCACCCTTAGTCATAGAACTTGCAGTAGAGTAGCGAGAACATTGTTGATGACAAATTATCAATGAACTATGTCCAGTAAAACTTGAGTTTGGCTCCAAGTTAACCTTTTTCTCTTAAGAAATCTAGTTCACCAGTCGGTTGCCAATTAGCACATAATTATACTAAGCACATTCATTAGCAAAGAAGAGATAAGAAAAATTAATCACATAATTGTAAATGAAGGTTAGGATTATTCATCTTTAAGCTCAATGGACTCCAATAATTTGGTTTAGAGATCAAAAATATTTGCAAATAGTGCTCAGAAGTTTTCAGGGCTATCATCCAACTGCTTTTCATCTTCTATATCTACCTCCAAGATTTCCTGAAATAATCAATGCATTCCAGGTTATAGCAATTTCAAGGAAATCATAGTCTGTAAAGAAATTGCAAGTACATATGTAAAATGGTTCAAAACTTGGTGCGTCCTTAAACTTATAGACATGCTCGCTCTATTTGTGAGTCCAAGCTAACGGAGAGGTTGATTTGGCTCATGGTATGCTTATGGTGGCGTAACCATTATGCCGTACATGGTTTTTTTAGGACAATCATCATCCATGATCACACCTCATAACCATATTGTCAGCTAAATTCTATGAACTGAATTGATTTCAGTGAGTAATGGGGTAAACATTATGAAGTTTATGCATCATTTGCAAGCATGCCTATAAGTTTTAGGACGACCCCGGTTTTTAACTAGTGGAAAATTAGCCGAAAGGGATAGATTGACTGACAGGGATCCTCTGCTTCAGGTAATTGCCAAGCCTGGCTAACACAGTTGAACGTTTATGCCAAAATTTGCCCCCAAGTCTGATCTTCACATAGGGTCCATCCAGATCAGCAAGTTCTGCTTTTCCTATATAACATTAAATTACTTTCATATTATTTGTTAAGTTTCCATTTAAACTGAAATGTTGAATCATCTGTTTTATCTTGAGAAATCACCTGTTATGCCCACTGAAGTATCAAAGAGTTGTGCTAACTGCAAAGCAAAATATATTCTATGACTATTGTAAAGCATTTCAAAGTGAACATCTACACAAATGTGGCAAAAGAAAGACTTGCCTCAACTCGAGCATCGTCTAAGACCTGCTTAATGTTATCCTCTGTCAAATCAAGAGGTGATATCGAGGCTGAAATTGCTCGGTGGTGCTGAGTGGCTGGAACTGCTGGAAATGATCTCCGCCTGTGATATGTCGGTCGCCCTGGCGGCATTCTCAACTTTGTTGCTGCATTTTTTTGCTTCACAGCCACAAAGTTAGATAAGGAATTGCAGGTAGGAGTATAAAGTGCTGGTATTGGTAGCCCGTGATGGTGGTTGTGGTGGTGCTTAGGAGGACGGAGAAGCTTTAATGGCATATTTTCTTTACTTTTAGTGAAGTATCAGTAAAGAACTGTTTTTGTTATCCTCTTCTCAAGGGAATGTGTGGTGTCCTGGCAAAGTGCATGTTTTATGCTTAGCTTAAAAATTTACTTTCTAGTACACAAGTAGGTTTTAGAATAAATAACTTTCTTCATTTATTGAAGTTAGAATTACCTATTTGAAAGTAATTTTTGACTTCTTTTGTCAATTTTTAAAAAAAAAAAAAAAAAAAAAAAAAAAAAAGATCGGAGAAGCCTATCAATAGGACTACTTTGCAGTCTATAGCTTAGTAGCAATTGAGTTTTGACAATTTGAAAAGTGCAACGATTTTAGCCACATGGCATGTTCAGTTGTAAGACTCATTTGAGTGAATATGTAAATATTATTTCACGTGCATTCTTACAATTAGATTATAGTCAATTTTGATGATGAGCCTAATATTAAGCTGACTCTCATTATCGATACACGTTCCCGGTCCACTAAGGTGATTTCGAGAATAGGTCATGCCGTGACATATTTATAAACAAAAGATTGCTTTGAAAATAAGTTAAATAAAATATCTCACACCCACCCTTGTGTCTTCAAAAATCACATAAACCTCTCTAACATTTTTTCTTAGTGAATTTCACCGTTTCACACAAAAACAAAAATAAATTTGTATTTCTTATTTTACCCTTCTATTTACGTATTACCTTTAAAATTATTATTAAAACATATTTAAACCTTCCTTCTTTCTCCTTTTCTCATTTCTTAAAAGAAACGTTGTTACAAGTTAATCAAAGTGGTTCATTTGCAATATACATGGTTGAAAAGATGGCATGGCTCATGAGAAGTATATAAAATCCATAGTTCTTTGAGTCATTGCATTAATCTTTTTCTTCTAGGTAGTAACTTCTGTGCTCCGTTCAAATACAATATTGTGGAATAAACTCTTAGGCAAGAGCCATTTTATTCAACATTTACACTACCAGATGGAACAGTCATCAGTTCATACTTTTAGCACTCAATTTTTCAACTTCATGCTCTCTGTGAACAATGACAACAAAATGAAGTCCAGACGTAACAAAAATATTAACTGGCTTTGGACTCGACATCTTGCAAGCCACAAAACATGTTAGCAGGGACAGCTACATCGATCATCTTAGGATACGACAAGTTCAAATCTGTTAAGAAAATAAAAAACATCGTAAGAACATATTATGGTGGAAGTGGCATAACAAACAATTTCAGCGTTGAGCAATTTAACGGTCATCACTACTTACTTGCCATGATATTTTTAAATGCTTCCTGCAAAACACGTTTCATGAAAAATTAATTAGAAACAGAGATTTAAGAATATGAAGTTGCTTTTTGGCAGAAAAATGGAATCAATATTATCAGAACTAATTTCCAGTGTCTCTATCACCTTGTCTTTTGTCAGGCGGGGATTATACAGCATCTCCTCTCCCACTGTACTGACCTGATAGGAAATTGACGTGCATAAGCAAAGAGAGCTAGGTTTAATCGCGTAATCTATGTATTTACAAAAACTGTAAAATTTAGAGTACTTACAGAGAATCCCTTGTAATCATGAGCAGGATACACAAATGTGTCTTTAGGCAAAGTAAAGATCTGTTTTCGGAAAAAAAATTGAGAGGGTTACTTAGCAGGCAAAAATTTGGGTACTGTTGAAACTCCAAAATTTTCTTAATTGCACTCAATTTATTATTAGTCTCCTTGCCTGTGAATGAACAGACTTGTATAGCTGCTCAGAACTTCCACCCTGTATTAAAATTCAGAGTTAATGATAGCTAATGAGAAACTACTACATGAAGCATAAAATGCAAGACTCGGATCAAGTCAAGGAAAGAAAACTACTAGATGTGATTACAGTATTTTTTGCAACTTCAAATTTTCAACAAACGAAGTTCATATATATCCATTCATTTGGCTTGAACGAAAATTCACAGAGAAAGATACCTCTGACATGGGTGAGACACTAACTAGTGATTGATTTACAATTTGTTGCTTCATACACCTACTTTTTGAACCATTTTGGCAACAGCTGCATCAATCCAGTTAGACGACTCAAGGTTTATATATAATATGAATCATCAGTGTTCACTAATTTACCATTTTCCTTGTCTTTCTGATCATTTATTTTTCCTTGTCCTTCTGATCATTTAACTTCATATGTTTCTAATACCCAAGAACTAAAATATTCTAGTCAGTGCCTAGTTGCTATATACATGCCCATGCCAATATGCCTCAGAAAATAAATTATAGTACTAATACAAGCTGATTTTATAATACAAACTTTTTGATGTTCCATGAAGCGGTAAAGCAAGAATTGCCAATGTATACAGAATAATCTCATTTATTTTATTCTGAAAAATTGGTCTTCGATTGTGCCCTCCTTTCACTCTGATTAACCCACTTTTGCATAAAAGAAAATTGCTTAGGATCGAGAGAGAAGGTGGAGAAAGGAGGTCAGATTCAAAATCACTTGAGTTTAAGGTTAGAAAAGTAACATAAAAATGACATTTGCAACATAATGCCTCTCATTAAGGAATTATACCTGAAAATCTGTTCTGCCACATCCGCGTATCAGCAAAGCATCCCCAGTGAAAGCCATTCTTGGTTGAGGCTGATTATGTCCATCGCCAGTAACATAGGTAACGCAACCTAGGGTGTGACCAGGGGTAGAACGAACCTATGATGGTTAAAACCAGTCAAATAGTCAATAGTTGAGGATACAGATTACATCATCAGGCCACTGAGGGACCCATAAGATCAGGAAATGACAGCATGCACATGCCAATGCAGAGCTACATTGTATAGAAATAGATTGATGTACGTTTCATTTTAAATAGATAGATCGTTTACCCTAAGTCAATACCATTCTTGTAATTGTCAGTTAATTTTTTGCAAGGGCTTCTGTAAACTACACAATACAATCAAAGAAGATCCTTAAAATAGGTCTATTGACAAAAAGTTGACACTGAATCCATAGTTTTCAAGTTCACCTTGAGAATCTAGTGTTGAACCTCGTCTATGGGCATCTAGTCGGCTTTGTTGTCATCTTGCTTGCAAAAGTGAAGAAAGAGAAAAAGACAAAGGTGGAGTTTTTTTTTTCGTTGAAGTGGTATAAGATACCATATATTCCAGTCAAAATTGGCACCATGGCCATCAAGGCAGTATGTAGGGAGGTTAGAGGGTAATTCCTTGACTTTGGGGGAAGGCTTCGATGTCTCTCCATTATGGTGAGGTGAGGCTGAGTGATGTGGAACGAGCTGACAATTGCGTGTTGGCCATATGTAGGGACAATGCAGAACATTTACCAGAATGTTCTACATACTTAATCAGAAAAGTTGATAATTATCCACTGATTTTAATTGGAATTGAGATATGTTTGTTCTTTTATACTTCGATCCTCATAGAAATAGTAGCATTAATATAAGGCTCAAATCCTTCCAACGCAGATGTAGTATTAGTTTCTGAAATACATATTATCTATGTCATTTATTTGGACTATAAATGGAATCCATGTGAGAATGTTTACATATACATTCAGAAGCTTGTATACCTCCAGGAAGAGATCACCGAAACAAATTTTGTCACCAGGTTCAACAAAAAGATCAGCTTTTGCATTACTTGCTTTGGAAATAATAGATTTTACTCCGGGTGCTTTACTCTGCAGGACATAGCCATATTAAACAAGAAAGAGTTAAAATGCTGGTGGAGAAAGTAAAACTAATAATGAAAAAAATTAACAAAAAATTAACAAAATGCATTACAATAATAGGCACCAGTATGCAAAAACATCCTCCCCTCCAAAAGTAAAGGAAAAAAACTTCAAGAAGTGAATTGATTCATTTTGTGCAAGGAACATAGGGTCAAGACATACCTTAATCAAACCAGTGCCAGTGACATGATCAGCATGTACATGAGTATTTATTGCATATAGAAGCTTCAAACCCAATTCTTTCACAAGAGAAAGATCCCTATCCACTGTCTTATCAACTGGATCAACCAACTGTACGCAGAATAAACTGTATCATTATACTCTCAAGTCAAGAGCTAAAGAAAATATTAAGCAGGTGATTAAAAGGTGTATCAAACCAGATTAGCTCTTGTTCACTTTTTATGCACAAGCACTATGCAAAAATAAAATAACTGTAACCGAAAAAGGACATCCATTCACATTTGATATTTCAACTACCTAAGACTTTCTTTCTTGTTTTTGAACTTCATTATTTTTTAGATTAGAAATCTACACGAAATCGTCCAGATTTTTCTCCATGGAACTCCTCTTCTTCTTTTGTTTTATTTACCTACTTAAACTTTGATAAATATATTTTCAATTACATTTTAACGTAATAACTACGAGAAAGCAAAAGAACCAAAAAGAGGAAAATTGCACTATTCAATTTTGCTTCATCTGTCACTGTCCAAGTGAAACAAGCTTAAACGAGAAAGAATAAATTTAATCAAAAGTTTTTAAAATTTAGAAACAAATTTGAATGTGAAAAAAGAACAAAACTTTTCAATCACAAGCTAACACAAATTAGAATACAATTAAGCCCAATTTTGAAGAACCTTCTTACTTATACCCAATAAACAAAGAGCGAGTAAAACAATTCAATTCCTAAGAAAAATAATTTAACAAATACATTTCGTAATTACATGTATAATAAATATAAATTAACAAATAAACTGACCAGGGCTGGTTTGTCAGGATGAGAAGTATCAGCAAGAAGGTAAGTGTAAGTAGAAGAATCTTTCTCAAAGAGCTGGCGGAAAAGCAATTTTGACGAGGAAGCAGACGACGTCGTATAAGACGATGATCCCATTTGCGATCGGAACTTGGTAATTCTAATTACAGGAGCAGAAATTTTATGGAATTTAGGAGAAAAGGCAGTAGAGAAATGCAAGAATTGGAATTTCAGAAGCATTTCTTAGTTTTGACGATGAATTTAATATGGTATGGCGAACATATCAACACCTATGTGTCAACTGGTTTTGAGATTATTTTAAGGGAAAATTATAATTGATTTATGAGGGAGGATATGACATCTGCCCAAGAATAGAATCTAATTTATTACCAATTGGTTGCTTGATTATCTGGTACGATGCCATAGGTTGATTGGTCGGTTACTAGACAAATTGACAAGTGATTGGTCAATGCGAGCTGAATCTGTGCTCTCTCTAGGGTCTCGTTCAAGAATCTTTCAATCAACATACGACGATTTGCTTTTTGAGTAATTCAAGTCATGATACTTCTGATATCTAAAGTAAAACATAAGCAGAGCCAATAATGATGTGTGTACATATGGATTGACACTTCATACAGTATGACAGTGGAACAGAGTCAATTGAGGCGAGAGACTAGACGAAGGGACAGATACGACTAGAAATGACAAAGGGAATAGTAGCAGATAGGGTGCCCTAGGCGATCTTCTCTAGATTGCTTGGAACCCAAAGAACTTAACCAAATGCTTTCCTTAACTTTTATAGGAACATCTTTAGAGACCGACACTTAGCATGCAGTCGCTAACAAGTTCTCTATTTTATCTCACACTCCATGGAATGAATTCTTTTCAATAAATTTAAAATTCACTAACCTGTATGTACTGAAGAATTCTCCATTTTAGGACAATAATTGAGATGAAACTACGTAACCTGAAAATTGTTTGAGAGGGATTTTGAAAAATTAATTTTTTGATCGATGAGAGAAGAAATCAATTATGACGGCTGAAATAGTAAAATAACGATGAAAAAAATCAATTTTTTGGAGGAAAAAATCACTCCCCAGGCCCCCAATAGTATTCAACATTGCTAGTGGAAAGATTTTCTCGGTGAATAAAGCATTTTGGGCACTCTTACAAGTTTTAAGGACGTCGTTTTCGAAGTGCTTGTTACAATTGGTATCGCAACATTGCAGATAATGTGACCTAAGATGTTGCTTCTAGTAGAAGAACTGCACATAATTTCTCAATCTCAATCTTAATCATTAAAATTGTAACACTTTTTCTTATAACCAAATCAGAATAGCCAAGATTCAGCAGACATTGATCCTATGCATCTTTTTCAATCTCAAACAATGCACACAATATATACTGTGGTTTGTGATATTGATCATGACTATACAATAATTTACTTTTCCTCTTATATATCGACACAAATGATCTGTTCACCCAAATTTTGACTGTATAATGATCATCGTTGCTTCTTCTTCCTCTTTCCAGCAAGAATTGGTTGAATTTGCAAGCTCCTGCTGAAAGCCTGGTTGAAAAGGAAACGCGTCTGAAAAACAGAAATTATAGGGAGCCATGCCAAAATCGCTACGGGTGTGAAAAGAGCTACACCCATCCCATAATCATAAGCTCGAGCAAAAACGCGAGCAAATTGCCACAATCCCGTTCCCTCAATCTTGGGCCTCAGAGTTTGTGCAACCTGTCCGACAAATCAATGTAAACAATAAAAGGTAGAAAAAGAGTCGGATATGAAATCCTTCAAATAGTATACACACATGGGCCAACCAATCTCCCATCCTCGTCCAAAATATGATACGAGAAAAACGAAGAAACGGGACAGCTTAAACTATCAGGATATATATAGAAATTATTCTGAACTTACCATTATTAAGCCCCAACCAGTAGGCAGAAAGGCCAGACAACAAACAACCAGATCTCTCATAGATAGATCACATATGATTGATAGAGCTACTACTGTTGCCGTGGCTCCAAGGAAAAGAAGGGCTTTAAATAGCCTGAATGTGAACTGATAACTAGCGCTGAGATATTGCCTCCCTACTTTCACAACCTGATAACAAGTTTGTACAATTGACACTTGTGAAGAGAAAATTAATGAACTTCAACAATGAAGCATCATACTACTAGTATACATGGCTAGACAAATAAAAAAAATCCACGTTATGAAGTTTACCTTGACTAGGAGGAAAATCACCACGATGACAACCCAAGAGAGCACATAAACGATAAAGTTTTTGTTCTGACCAGATATATCTAGATGATAGACCAAACCATATTGGTAAAGGAAAAATCTCAGTGAAAGAAATAACTCTATTAACCGAGAAGTCAGCCCAGAGTGAAGAAGATGGGCTTGCTCATCGTTCCACCAAGATTGCCAACTTTTATCTTGTTGGATTCCTATCCCACCCTGTTGCTTGATCCATTTGTTCCAATCTTTCCAGTCATCGACTATCTTGCCCCAGTTGAATCCCGAAGGATTAAACAAAAATGGTGCAAACAGCCAAGTCAACGACATGAACCAAATAGCATATGTTATCAACACATATGCCATACTACTCTGGTAGGACCGTCTAAACCAATCATAAACAATTAGTAGTAGCAGCAGCTCAAATCCTTTCACAAAATGACTACGTGAATACAATCTGTAGTTTTCAGTAAAACTTGCATGAAAGACCACCACCTTACGTCCAGTGGGAATATACTTGGCACCCCCATGAAGAATTGTTCGACCAAAATAATGAGATTTTGTTCCATAAGAAAAAGTAAAGAAAACAGAAGCAAGCTGAAGTTGCATGAGAACAAAATCTTTGAGGGCAGTAAGAAATCCTCTCTCCAGACCAATCTCTATAACCATAGGTAAACCCGTTAAGAGCCCAAGCTGGATAAATGACTGAGAAGCCAAGGCTGTTTCTAAAGATTCAATATTTTTCACTCTGGCCTCGAGGAGCAGTGCTCTTTGTAGACCACTAAGTACAAGGTAAAGTTGTCCATAAAGGAAGACATATACTCCAATAACTGAAATCTGCAAATCGAAAACACAAATAATCTCACAAAATTAATCAGAAGAACATTAAGCATATCCAAGAAAACAAGAAATTTTAACTGACTCTGTGCATCAAATATTAAGGGAATGACCTTCAATAATGATCATTTATTTCTGTGTCTGAACTTTGAAGTCAAGGTACTCAAGAGTGTAAAACTATATAATTCCATAATTCTTACCAAGCTGTTAAAATAAAAGCCAATCGTAGTAAAATAACAAGAAAGCATCCGAAAGAAGTCAAATCGACGTCCAAGTCGGTATAGATCACGGCTGAGAGTTTGCTCACTGTTGCCATTTGCTACTTTGGCTTCAAACTTCGATATCTGGTTGAGTCCAACGTCACGTCCTTTGCCAACTTGCATATACTCGTGATACGTAACATATCCCCGCCGTAGTATAGTATTGAATCCTAATCACATCAGTTTATCTTGTAACTATATATTATAACAGAGAGAGAGAGATAGAGAGAGAGCGAGAGCACAGCTTTAATTTATTAATCTTTACCTGCAAAGACATCCTCGCTCAAGTTAATTGTCTTTGATGCCTTGCTAATTCCACCTCGTGTTAAGTGAAATATTCTGTCAAAGAGATCTGGATGCCCATAATGAAATCTAACCCTGTAACAAGTCGAAATAAGTAAATCATAGTTATATATTTTAATATCGGCTGAACTATATAGATAATTCCATCAGGTACTTCAATGCTGCAACGAATAAAACTTGAGTTGTCATATCTGTATTTAACTTAAACAACGCTAGTGGCAGAAAAGAGACCGTTAAGTTGGAGATAAAGAAACTTTTGACTTGAAATTTGACAGTTAAAAAGAATCGTGTGCCTCACTTCTTTTCATTTTTAATTCCTTTCTGAGATTTTTGACATCAAATTAAATCATTAATTACCTGAGAGGATTCGCCAGAAGTCTTTGACCAATGGTGACAAAGCTGGTTTCCTGATAGGACATGAACCATGCCAAAGAAGAAACACTGCAGTAGAATACAAGCTGTAGTCAAAAACAACATTTTCATTATATTCCATGTACGCAATTCTATTTCCCTTATATATTCATAGGATTTTTATGCTTCGTAACCTAACTTATTGAAGAACTCTAACAAGTGTTATAAACGTTCATATCAATATTAAATGGAAAAACAGATATTAATGCACTTCCCTAATAACATAAAATTTATAGTTGAATGCATTTCCGATATAGCATTTTGAACATCTTGATTAAATATTTGTGAGGACCTTAAACATTGAACAGTGCTAAGACCATATACTGACATTCGAGGAGAGAACAAGAACCAGATTTTATATAAAAATTTCTGGTTGATAGAATAACGATTCATTTAAGCATCAAGTAAATAAAACTGAACATACACCTATTTAAAATGTATCCAAGAGATGAGGAGTCTCTCAAAGATCTTAACTGGGAGCCAGTTGCACTTGCAAGTTTCTTTAAAATTTTGCATTATTCCAGGAGATTAATACCCATCAACCTTCAACTATTAGCATAAGCACTTATTATTGTTGAGGAAATTAAAATCTTTACGAAATTACTTTCCATTTGTATCCAAGTATATGATGAGGCAACTACTACATAAAGAGGCCAAGACTAACCTTCCTGTGAATATGTGCTCTCTCATGCCAATTATTGTAGGAGGCCTCCTTCCTTGAACCCGTATAAATTCTTGTAAGAGATTTCTCATCTTGAGAGCTTCCTCGAGATAATTATCCTGTCACAACACTGTCATTAGGACAAAGTTCATAGTATATTATCTATTTGAAACTTAGTGTTGGGCATACCTGGTTCATATCAATTGCTTGGAGAGCTTCACCACGTGTGAAAATTATTGCATGGTTTTGATTCTCTGGTTTTCCTTCCCCAATATTTGGAGGTCCTGGGAGCTTTATGCGGTATACCTCCTACAAAAGCTGAGTATTTAACAAGAAGAAATTGAAATACCAAAGGGGGTGTTCTCAATCTAGAGTTTGATGGATTTTAAAACTCCATATAAATTGAAGTATCTTCAATTTAGATTTAAATATAATTCATTAAAATATACGTATCCCCAATCTAGATTTTTAAAAATATTTATAAATTTAGATGTCTTCAAAATAAATTTTAATAGGTAGTTTTGAAATTTAGACGTCCTCAATAACTAGTTGATTTTAAAAGATTTCATTAAGTAGATAGATTTTGATAGATTTTGAAGGATTTCAAGGTAAAAAATATAAGTACAAAGAATCATTAACAATTTTAATTCAAACCTAAAAATTTCACAACATTTTTCACCCTCTCTCCATATTTGCTGCTCTCTCTCTCTCTCCCCCCCTCCCCCCCTCTCATCTTCAACAAGATTTCTCTCTCTCTCTCCCCCCCATCTTCAACAAAATTTTCTTCTTCTTTCTATCTCACATTTCTCTACTGTGAAAAGATCGTGTATGAGAACTTTTCAATTGATGATAATTTATGAAAGATTACTATTTTTTGTTGAATATTGGATGTGATTTTTTATTGAACTTAGTTTTTCTTATTGAAGCTATATATTGTTTACTATTTTATAGATGTGCTGGAAATTATCATGATAATTTACGATTTCTAGTATGCATACTGGAACAACTTCGTCTTTCAAGTTCTGTAACCTATTCCTTTTTCTTGGGAAGAGCTGTGTGTTTTCTATATATACCTGCAAATCCTAGTCAAGACATGTGAGGACGGTATCCCACAATTTTTTCTTTTATGTTTACATGGTCAATGAGAATTCGGGGGGTATGCAATTAATTGCCTTGTGGTCATGTATGTGTACATCTGTGTGTTTGTATCTCACAAGGTTTTGGCCTTTTGAACTAATTCATATTGATTACGACTTTGATTATTTAACACTACATATTTTTGTCCTCTCCCACTCTCGCATTTTGTTGAATATTGGGTGTATTTTTTATTGAAGCTCCGTTATAATATTCAATGTTTAACAAAAAATTGAACAAGAATTCGATCATTTTCTGTGATTTATTAACGTGCATATGTGTAAGAATGAGTCGTTAAAGAAGAAGTAAAAATTTGTGACTTATGTTAAGCATATTTATAAATTTTACCCAGAATTTATAAAATTCATTGAAATCTATAAAATCCATGAAAATCTTTTAAAATCTACAAAATAGAAATCCATTCAAATCTTATGAAATCTATTAAATTCTATCAAATTTCTCACATCTATGAGAATTTATAAATATTAAGAAATCTATTAAACTCTGAAATAGGAACACCCCCGCAAATAAACATACTGTAGAAATTAGGTTAACTGTAGATTGATTGATGTACCATATTTAGGATGATTAGGATTGATTGATGTACCATATTTAAAATTTCCATAGTTTGGTAGGCTAATTAGCTCTCTCCTAATTTAGGAGATTTTTTACCATCTTTACCTCCATTCATTGTATATAAATGGTTGGATAGAGGAATAAACTATCATCAATTCACACAATCATTCGTGTGTTATTCTCTTCACATACAACAAATATACCTACCTTACCCAAACACTTCCATACTTCAATAGGAATTCCATTTGGACCAAATGCTTTTCTTATCTGCATTATTTTTGTAGTGTCTCCACTTCAAAAACTCAACCTCTTCTATTATAGGCCTTGTTTGAGCCCCATTCTTCGGAAAAAATATATTCTTAAAGAAACTAGGATGAATTCTATTTAACATTGTAATATTTCTTCCATTGGTACTTCGTATAGACATCTACTTTCTAATGTAGCGCATATAGAACTTTCAGTAGAAGAAGTAGATTAGACGTGGAAGAAGATGAACACAAAGAAGAAAGCAGAATTGCAGCAGAAATACAAACCCAATTTAAAAGTCCAAAATAATAAAACAAAAAATAAAAAAAATAAAAAAAATCAAATGGATGTCCTTATCACTTTCCTTTTCCCTTTATGAGATATCTTGTAAATAACTTTATCCCCAACCTTTTATCCAAGATAACAATACAACTTCTCATATACGTGTGCACAGGACACTCAAATCACACCCTTGGCTTCCCATTTACAAATACGTACAGCATTTTCACCAACCTATATTGTGTAGTTAACCCCAAAATTANCTCAAATCACACCCTTGGCTTCCCATTTACAAATACGTACAGCATTTTCACCAACCTATATTGTGTAGTTAACCCCAAAATTACCTTACATTTTGGACACGAAGACCCATCCACCTTGCTCGTAAAGAAACTAGGATGAATTCTATTTAACAGAACTCTTGCAAATTTTTAGAAGTTATCTGGGAAGGGCGAGTTGCAGCGTGTAATCCGAACTGAGGACGGGTTTTTAATCTCTCTTTTTGAAGCACGTATTAGTTGACGTCAAATAGTAAGCCATATCAAAAGTCCACAATGGTATTGTCATCTACATTTCGAAGATAAAGCTGAAAGTTTTAAGTAATCATAACTAATATTTCTCCATATAACCATTAAGCCCTTGTTTGCCTCTTGTTTATAATCCATTTATAATAGGTCCAACCACTTTTTATCCACATATTTTGGGACCCATGATAATTACACACTTATCCACCACTCATTTATATCTATTCATAATTTAAACCAATTATAAACAATTCCTAAACATGCTATCTCCTCAAACAAATATCTTATCTTAACTAGTGATTGTTTTAACCATACCATCCATGCCATCCCAAAACTGTTGTTTTGTTGCCTTATCTAATCCTATTTCTACAGAACATCCACTAATAACGCTAACGTGATCTCCTCCTATTGATAATCTAACTACTAAAATCCTATTCGTGTCTGTTTAACTCTTACAATCTTATTTTAAGTTTTGGTCCAATGATTATTCCTCTAAAACATGAAACTTCCCATGAAATTTGGTCTGAATTATGTGATAGTACTTTTCTTCATCCTAATTCTTCTAATGGAGTTATGAGCAATGTAAGTATCTTATTACCTGATCAAAACCGTTGACCGCTTTGACTAATATTGATGAATAAACTCTTTGAGTCGTATCTGCTATGATCTCTTCTTTCTCCTCGACATATGCAAGACGCAAAGATGGATATCTGTAAGCAGTTGATGTTTAGATGAAATCATACCCCAAAGAAACCGTGAGCTGAAAAAATTTCACGATATATCTCTTGACTAGAGAAAAGTACCTTATCATCAATTCAAGTATGTCTTTAGCCTGTGCATCTCCAGAAGCTTTTTGTAATCCATAAATTTGACAAGAAACAACATGTGTGAATTTCATATCTACCATGGCATCAAGCTGCGCTGATAACGTACCATTTTCTCTATCAATGGATTCATAACCTTGAAGAATATCTGGTAAGCAAATCAGACAAATTGAATAAGTCCCAAGCTGGCTCTTGAAGTGTTTGTCGTACAATTACTGAACTGGAAAATTTAAAATAACTATTTAATTCAACAAACCATCATCCTCAGCCATGTCAAGAAAAGCTTGCAATTTTAGGGCTTTTCTGCAGTACATCATTCCTCTGACTGTTGTAACATAAGAAAAGAATATAGGTATAAACTTTTAGTTAAAAGTAAAGTGTTCAAGATAAAAATAAATTAATAAATCCGTATAGTTCCTAATAGCTTAAACTATTAGATGAGGTAGTCCCTCGATTGGGTATTACAATAAAAAAATGTCTAGAATTTGAATCACCACTCAACTATAAAATTTCATCAACCAGGCATTCTATAGAAAGCGCCACACATGAGGAGTGCCTTGAAAATACAATATACGTTAATAAATTACTCCAATCTAACATTTTCATCTTTTAGATGAGGTGGTCATTCAATACAAAATCAAATTACAGGAATTATTAATCTGTATAACTTACCTGTCCTACTTAAAGTTTGCCCTCGAAAAGAAGCCCAATCTCTTTCTTCGTTCTTAACGATTTTATCATTTTCATTTATTTCTTCACATTGCATACGTTCCAGAAAATTTCTCCATTCATCTGAGAGCACATGTTGAAATATTCAGTTAAAAGAGAAGTGTCAGACAACATTTTATGCATGAAAAATATGTTCCGCACTTAATACTAAAGCAGATCCATAAATAGCAACCTGGATATATCTTTTGCATATAAAAGCTGATAGAAACCACTTCCTTGCTTGTGTGAAGCTCCTTTTCTGAAAACTTGACTTCTTCCATAAAGTGCGGAGTCAAAATACTGCTTAGAAAGAAGATCAACAATTTGAGGACAATCCATGTTTGTGGATTTTCTGAATCCCAACTAGGGTCCATGATTATAAAATTCAAAGCTCAAACAGAATTATGGGAGTTTTCATCCATGCAATCGATAGCTACAATGTCAATATAAAATCAGAGAAGAAATTTAGCCCCAGTTTGATCCCCCTTCTTTAAAAAAAA